ATTTATTAAAAAGTGCAAAAACAGGTGGGAAACGCACAGAGCCGGATTTAACCTTAACGCCGTCCATGGGCACAGTAAAAAATGCCGCCCTATTATCGAAGTTTTAAATTTTTTAATTATTAATTTTTCGAAAAATCCAAAAAAAAAATAATAATTTATAAATGATATCAGTTTTTCGAAAAATGTACCTACAAGTTAATCTTTTTTTTACCTTTCATTTTTTGGTAAATAAAAAAAAGCATTTTCGATAACGCGAAGAAATTTTTTTCCCACCCTCCGAATTTTGCCGCCCTGGGTACAAGCCCCGAGTGCCCCTATTGTAAATCCAGGGCTGGTCAAACGAACACCATTGGTCAGACCAAATACAACGTCAAAGTAAAAAATGGCGAGCGTTTAAAGTATCCGTAACGGTATGATATTTAAAAAAAATATACTAAATTTTAGCTTCTTGGAGCTGGTTTTTTTTTCAATTAGGCATATAACGATGTTAGCTATTGTATAAAAAAAATTAAAAAAATAACACTTTCTTCTGTGACAGATAACAAGTAAATACAAATCAACGTTGTGTCCAAAGTCCGAGTGTCGGATATTTATACTTTCTTTAGAAAGATAACCTACTTAAGATAAAGTATTTAGCTTAAATAAGAATTCAATATCTGTAACATTGATATGATATATTTTTGTTCATTGACACCGCCTATTCAGAAAGGAGGTCGATCGTTCAACTTAAATGTTGTATGTATGAACCTTCGATTAACAATACTACTAGATAATAGTCCAAGAGCCCAGGGCCGTCAGACGTCACTTATTTTCTGACGAAAGAAATGTGGACGATTGGGTAGTGTTAGCATGTACTAAAATCGCATGCCTACCTACTAGTTTGGTTAGACGGCCAATTTCCAGGTATCAAGTAGGTAGTAGGTAATCAAGGTACCTCAAAAGATTACTTACCTCACGTACATTCTCCAAACTGATTTTCACGTATATTTCAGACAATATCGTTAAAAATAAGTCGTCAATACTCCAAGACACTTTCCGTCCGGGTAACCAGCTATCACCATACCAAATTTCATTAAAATCCCTCCTACGGTTTTCCCGTGATGCGGTCAGACAGACAGACACACAAAAATTCTTAAAACTATAGATTCAGCCTATGTATCGATAATAATGTCTATTTTCCGTAAAACTGAAAATGAACGAGTTGTTCAATAAACAAAAATTCATCCCCTCTTTTCGGGTACCTATAAATCGAAAAATATCGATACTAGGAAAAAATCGATGAGAATCAAAATTGTAGGAAATTTAATTTCAAACAAATATTGTAATAACTATTCTTCGTGTAAAATTTAAAATAAACGAGTTATTCAATAAACAAAAATCAACCCTTAAATTCAAGATGGCGGATGACGCAACGGGTCTTTTACACCGGAAATCTAAATTTAAACTTTCAGTGAACCCTCCCACCAAAGAATTCCGAAGGAAAATTGCTGTTAAAATTTTTTGAGCTAATTCGACTGGGCTATCTCTATTTTAATATATTAATCGATATTAATCGGTTCGTAATATTCTAGAACAACGTATTACACTAGATAGGTCGTAAGTTCAACCGTTACACGAGGCGACTATATGTACTCGTATATATGTATGCACGTCAACTTGTAATTGCCATGTTGGTCTAGTGCTGCAGATTGTTAGGTTCTGCGTTCGACTCCCGGTTCAGGCAAAAATAACGACTAGATATTTCTGTCATTATAATATACTCATTATCAGTCCGAAGGCGGGAAGTCGGCGGTATACATACGAATATTATAAATGTGAAAGTGTGTGTTGTTTATCTGTCCTTCTTTTACGTCGAAAGGGATTGGCTGATTTGTTCGTATTTTTTGTGTAGAGATAGTTGGAGAGCTGGAGAGTGATATAGGCTACTTTTTACCGCGAGAAATGACCTCATTCCCACGGGAAAACACATTATAATACAACCCAAAAAAATATTTATGATCAGAATTACTTGAAACTTGGTATTAATGCTCTTCAATACATTTTTTGGATTGAGTTTTAGCGCGAGCGAAGTCGCGGGTTCTGCTAGTGAATAAATATGTTGGGACACTAACACACAGCACCATCTAATTGCATGATAAGTTACCTTAGTAATGTAAAACTCTAACGTAAACTTAGACCAAAACCTTAGTCTCTCCCGAGACCGTGTTTGCTTTAAAAAGCATTCGACGAACGAAAAAAAACATAACAAAAACGGGAAAGTTTCATCAAAAATAGTTTAATCATACTTTAAACATACATAAAGAAATACTTTATTAGATTTTATATATACGATTTAGATATTACGCGAATTTTTGACACTTGAAACCTTTCAGTCGTCTAAAACCTCAGTCTCTCCGGTGACTTCTACGATGTTTATTTTTAAAATTATAGAGGCCTTTGAAAAACAATCATGATCCAAATTTCGATGTTTTAGATTTAGTTTTTCGAATGGGGAAAAAATACAAACAACTATTACACGTGGCGCTTTGTGTAGGTTTTTAATTGGTCTTTTTTATAAAAAAATATTTTTTTGAGATTTAAAAAAAAATAATGTACAAAACCGGAAGTGAAAATTTCATAACAATTTTTTGATCACTTCGACCATTTTTTTTTTAATTTTTTTTTTACACCCAAATATAGCCTATGGTATTATTAAAAAACACTAAAAATTTCCCGTCGGGAACCAAAATTCAAAATAAATCCGCGAAAAAATAGAGTAGAGATAGGTTTAGAATAAGAATTAATAGACATAAAATTTAGAATTAATTTTTAACTTTTATTACTTTTAACTATTATTTACAGTGAACGCTATGTACACTTGTTATAGATATACATATCAGGTACTTAATTTATATTACTAATAAGATTATGTTTTATATATATTTGAATTGTTAGTGTGCTTTATAAATAAAAAAAATTAAAAAAAATTAAAAAAAATTCCAAAACGACAGTTTTATTTAAAATATTTATATTTAAGTTTATTTTGAATGTGCATTATAAGTTTAACTTCACATTTTATTGATCTTTGACATCAGAATGAATACAATGAATGCTACTTCGTTACATTTACATATCAACAAGTAAAACTAAAACTCTGGATAACAATTATTCGAAAAATCATATACCTTTAACGATACGTTTGGCTCAGTTTGTAGTCACCCTACTTGCTGGGTCAGCGATCGCGGGTTCGAGTCCCGCGCAGGGCATTCATTTGTGTGATGAGCACGAATGTTTGTAGTCTAGTTATGGGTTTTTAATGTTTATATTTATAATATGTATGTATTTAAAATTATGTATGTGTAGTGTGATAATCCAACAATCCGCTGAACCGATTTAGATGAAATTTTGTATGAAGATTGTTTAAAACACTGGGAAAGACATAGGCGATAGTTTTTATCCCGGAAATCTTAAATGAAATTAAGGGGGCGAAAAGGGGGATGTAAGTTTGTTTGGGGAATCAATCATTTCTCAAGTAGGGGATATAAAGCTCATGTACCTATGTAAATATCTATACATATAATAAAATTCTAAGTAAGCCGAATCTGTACATTGAATATTTTTTGGAAAATCTTATTGAAATAGACATTGTTATCGATACAGAGGCTGAAACTATAGTTTTTAGAATTTTTGTCTGTCTGTCTGTTGCCGCATCACGATATGATGATAGGTGGACGGGTCAACATACCTATAGAATACTTTTTACTGCGGGAAAATATCTCATTTCTGAGAAAAAATACAAAAACTGCAATGTAAGAGTATACTAATATGTAAACTTAAGAATTTGGTTTTCGGTCATCTGAACGCGGGCGGAGCCGCGGGCAAATCTAGTACAATATACATCTGTATCTCGTCAGGGAAATAGACTAAAATTGATACCATTAAGACACATAATTATTGTAATTTAATCTTGGACCAATTTTGAATTAACACTTCAAAAACCTGTCTCAATACTTTTACAATTTAATTATTTGCATGTCTCGAGATTAGCACTTTAATTTTTAGTGCCACAAGATATATACTAAAGCAAAATTATGATTGAAATTAACAATAAAAATTGTAATATGCGCATGCGCATTTAAATTATTACATTTTATTCAACAACTAGCGACTAATTCTCGCTCTGCTCGAAATCGTTCCCGAGATACATTTTTACTGTTAGTATAGATTTCTCAGTGACATTAAATAAAATATCCCGGCTAACCAGCTATCATCATATCAAATTTCATCAAAATCTGTCCAGTGGTTTCTCGTGATACGTTCCCAGACAGACAAACAGACAAAATTTTTAAAAACTATAGATTCGGTCTCTGTATCGATAATAATGTTAATTTCAATAAAATTTTCCAAAATATATTTAATGTACAGATTCGACTCAGTTAGAATTTTATTATATTCAACAACAATTATAAAAATCTTTTTTTTTTTATGTTAACAGGGTAATTGAGTTCAAGTGCTGAAATACGTTTATATGTATATTTTTTACTGTAGCAAAAAAAAAACAACATATTTAAAAAATATTTATTTTTGACGTTTTCGCGCGTTTCTTTTTTCGCAAGACTTTAAAGTTGGCAATTAATTTTTAAATAATTTAATTTAACAGAGATTTATTATATTACGTTTTAGAAGCAAGGCTGAATCGCTAATTTTAAGTGTTTGACGTGATTCTTTAAATTGATATAACTTTTTTATCTATGAACCAATTAAAATAAAACAAATACTAAATTTTAAGTGAAGCTTACCACAACACATTAGTACAAACCGCACCCAAATCGGTTATGCCGTTTCTGAGATTAACGCACAAAAACGTACAGACAAACAGACGAAAATTATAAAATCATTGTTTTGGATTCTATTATGTTAAAAAAAATAGTTTTTCTTAAATATCTCCCATGTACAGACATCGATCAGTTACAATTTTATTATGTGTATACATACATATAGATATTTTTGGTAATACTCACATGATGTATAGTGATAACTCCACTTTTTTCTGTCATTTTATTTTTATTAGATATACAAAACTAATATCACAGATTGAATAAATAATTAAAAAATATATTTAAACCATAACACTAATCATCATCAACGTCCAAACTCAACAACTGTCCGACATTTAACAGATTCACTAAAATATAATCAATTATTTTATACAAAAATAAATTATAGTAAATAATAATTGCGGACACTTCTATTAATATGCGAATATCAATTGTAAACATTTAGAAATCGCGTAACAACGAACACGTCCGTACGGTGTGACGGTCGCGTACCGAATGCGCGTTGACGCGTTCGATTTTCAAATACATATGTACTGTATACGTATGTGTGCGCACGCGCAACTGATAACGATAGTAAAATCATCCAGGTCGTGTATTACGTGTGCATGGTAATCCTTAAGTTTGTCACTGATGACGATTTGCATATAAATTATTTCCGGAATGTGAAAAAAATGAAAGGTCATCCCTGTGTTTATATTTTTTAAATCTATATATATAGCATATTAGGCATTAGGGCAGTATAATAAAATTCTAACTGAATCGAATCTGTACATTAAATAAATTTGGGAAAATCTTACTAATATATTCATTATTATCGATACAGAGTCCAAAATCTATACTAAACCTTAAAACGTAAAAAAATGATTTATGTATATATATATATATATATATATATATATATATATATAATGGGGAGTTTAATTTTATTATTTATACAAGTAATATTAGGGGCGAAGTAAAAGCTAAAATATATTATAATATTTTTTCTGTACGTGTCATAGTTTATTTTATTACTAAGTGAGTGAAACGAAAGCAATTTGCTAATGATGATAACTTGTGATTCATGATCATTATAGACCCCCCGATATCCAAATGAGTGACAATCAATTCTTTTTAACCGATTTCCAAAAAGGAGGAGGTTCTCAATTCGTTAGAATCTTTTTTTTTATGCATGTTCACCGATTCCTCGAAGACGCCTGAGCCGATTTGGATGTTTTTTTTTATTATGCCGACAACGTATTCTCTCGCATTTTGGCCACACAATCCGCAGAGGCGACGAAAGTTTGGAAAAACTTATTGTGGTTGGAAATATCTAAGGCAAAAGATCGCGCGGTCGTGCTACAACAACATGGACCGACCAAATTAAAGACTAGCCATCGAAATTCTACACGGTGGTAAGAGACGCGCTGGACAGAAACCGGTGGAGGCAGATCATCCGCTCCAGATGCAACACTAATGCTGACAACGATCCTTAGACATAAGGGACCGACCCCAGAGAGAGAGTACTATATATATATATATATATATATATATATATATATATATTCACACGTTGTCGACACGTTTAGCTCAGTTTGTAGTTACTTGCTGTGCCAGCGGTCGCGGGTTCGAGTCCCGATGGGGGCATTCATTTGTGCGATGAGCGCGAATGTTTGTACACCAGTCATGGGTGTTTATATTTATAATATGTATGCATTTAAAAGTTGTATATGTGTAGTGTATCAACTATCTGGTATCCATAACACAAGCCTCATAGCTTACCATGGAACTAGATGGCGCTGTGTGTTAATGTCCCAACATATTTATTTATACATGTTTATAGATAATATTTCATTGTATTATTTAAACTGATAAACTTGATAAGTCAATAACGTTTTTCATTTATCAATATTTTATCTGTTTCACTGAATTTGATAATGAGTGAGAGGGACAGCTTGTGCAGCAACAGACATCATTAGAGTGCATTTTTAACTTTGATTCCATTACATAACACACTTAGAATTTACTAATATCATGTCAGTGTATTTGTCTTTCTTATATACAGTATTTAATCGATGTGATTTCTATTTAGATACTAGCGACTCACCCTCACTTCCCTCGGGTTCGTCCCTAGGTTAATTCCCCATACAAACTTTGAACCCCATTTTCACTCCCTTATGGGATTGATTTCCGGGATAAAAACTATCATATGTCCTTCCCGGGGTCTCAAACTATCTTCTTACCGAATTTCATCTAAATCGGTTCAGTAGACCCAGAGATTACCCTTTATTATTATTCGGTACAAACAAACAAACATAAAATCTTATCTCTTTATAATATTAGTATAGATAGTACAGATAAGGGGCCTTTCTGTCATTGCATGATGAAACTGGTATGAGTAGATAGAGGACACAAAACATATTAGAATACTAGCATTGGCCGCGGCTCCGCCCGCGTTCAGATGACCAAAAACCAAATTCTTAAGTTTTACATATTAGTATACTCTTACATTGCAGTTTTTGTATTTTTTCTCAGAAATGAGACATTTTACCACGGTAAAAAGTATCCTATATGTTGACCCGGATAACCTGCTATCATCATACCAAATTTTATCAAAATCCCTCCAGTGGTTTTTCCGTGATGCGGTAACAGACAGACAGACAAAAATTCTAAAAACTATAGATTCGACCTCTGTATCGCTAATGATGTCTACTTCAGTAAGATTTTCCAAGAAATATTTAATGTACAGATTCGGCTTAGTTACAATTTTGTTATATGTATAGATTGTGCCCTAAAGTGTCACGTCGCCGTAATATTCGATGTGAAAATTAAGATAATCTCTAAAAATGAACTAATAACATATTTATTTACGTTAAATTATATATAAATACATAATCCATTCTAAGAGTAATATTATAAATATAAAACTGTGTTTGTTTGTCTTTCTTTCACGTCGAAACGGAGTGATAGATTGGCGTGATTTTTTGTGTGGAGATAGTTGGAGGGCTGGAGAGTGACATAGGCTACTTTTTACCGCGGGAGATTATCTAATTCTCTCGGGAAAACACGTTATAACTTATAATACAATCCAAAAAAATATTTATGATCAGAATTACTTCAAAATTGGTGTTATTGGTCTTGAATAAATACGTGTTTTAGCATTTTAGCAGCGCCCGGGTATTTACAAGAAATAATTAGCAAGTAACACACCTCCTTATAATCTTGATTATTATATTTTATCTATACGAAAATATATACTTATTACTTGACGACAGTTTTATTAGGCTATTAACACGATAATTGTAAATATGCATATATAATTTGGCCAAATGTAAAGCAAATATGGGTCATTCCACGCCAAATCGGTCGGTTTAAAAAAAAAATTGTTGATTTTCTTAATATTTTGGTATTTTTAGTACCCCTCAAAAAGAGACTTCCTGGTAAATTTTGAGATTTTTTTTGATCACTGGTTCAAAACCGCTCTTTTTTTGGTTTTTTTGCTCATAACTTTCTTAATAATAGTCCTAGTCCGGACGTCCATAATTACTATATTTTTTCGAATTTTAATAATGAAAAAAAAAAATTTAAAAATCGAAAAAAAATAGTAATTATGGAAGGCCCACTACTGGTTTGGGCTTAAAAGTTGCATTTTTTTTGCTCAAATGTGACCACTATAATTAATTAATATAATTCGACACGACCGGTGAGAAATCAGGCGCAGGGCCGACGCGACATGTGCTCTTCTCAGAGAGCCTCTGCACGCGGGGTGAAACATCGATAACTTCCCAACTCCGGGAATTGTTATGTATTCAGCCCTTATTAACGTCCCACTGCTGGGCACAGGCCTCCCTTCAATAAGTGGGGGGTCAGGCCATAGTCCACCACGCTGGCCAAGTGCGGGTTGGCGGACATCACATGTCTTTCGAAAACTTACTAGGTTCTCTCAGACATGCAGGTTTCCTCACGATGTTTTCCTTCACTCCGGGCGTATTCCGGAATAACTAAACCTGGCCCAATCCGGAACTCGAACAAAGCACTTTCGGATGTGCAACCGTACGTGATAACCACTTCATCAAAATCGAATCAATGGTTTAGGAAAATGTTTATTTATACAAACTAGACTATCTACTTAAGAAGTAAACTCGGCACGTAACAAACATACACATATTTAAAGTGTTTTTTTTAACCTGTTATTTTTTTATTATTATATTTAATTCATAATATAAAACATCCTGTAGCTAACGCTTTAAATATATATAATAACACGGAGGGTGTGTCTGTCGTGGGCAAATATAAAAGACTGTGTGTAAACACTAAATTGACACAAATGATTTGTGGCAACACCATTTTATCTATTTACTTTAGACGTCACTTTCCGTCTCGTAGAATATGAAAACAACTAAAGTATACATATTTATATTATTTTCTTACGAAATATTTCACTTGGATTTACGCAAATATTTAAGTATTTGGATTTTCTCTCGTTTTTTTTTAAATTAAATATTTTTAAAATATATTCATTTATTATAAAAAAAATGTAATATATATATATATATATATATATATATATATATATATATATATATATATATATATGTAGGTACTTTTTAACGGTTAGAAACACTATATGCTATTATTATATACATAGGTACAAAATAAACAGTTCTAAACTTTTCGATTTTTCAGCTGTATTTTTTTTTTTGGGTTTTCTCCTATTTTTTTACACTTAAACCACCCCCGACATCACCAACAAAACAAAAAAAAAATTCAAAACAATCCAGCCGTTTTTGAGTTTTAGCTAGACTAACGACCGGCAATTGATTATTCTAATATTATTATTGTATATTTTCTGCCAACTCGCACTTGGCCAGCGTGATGGACTATGGCCTGATCCCCCTCACATTGGGAGGCCTGTGCCCAGCAGCTGAGCAGTGGGATGTTAAAAAGGGTTGAAAACATTGTTGTAGAACACCGACCGAGTCAAAAACCTTAAAAGTCTCTCCAGTGACCATAATGGCTGTAAAGCTTTCGAAACTTCGGGAACAAAGATTAACATAAAAGCGCCAAAAAAAGTTTTATTTAAAAGTTACTTGATACTTAAAAAAAAACTTCCACAAACCCTTCAGATGAACATAATCACAATCTACCGGAAGAACTTCACCATCCTTCTATATCAGTCGGATAAAAGGCAACAGTATAAATTCTCTTTGACCACGCGAACCGAGCTGCGGGCTAAAGCT